CCAATTATACCACCATTTTCAGTTGATCATTTGCCATTCGATGACTTTAAAACATAACATAAATAGAATATTGCATATAATTAAGAATCATGCTGTATGATGAAAGGGTTCTCAATTATAGCATCATCTCCAATCGTTCATTTGCCCTCGGAATTAAAACTTAGATTTCATTTAATTTATTCATTATTATTATCATTGTCATGCCACGTTATTATTAATATTATTATTTAATAGTCTCTTTTGCATGTGAAACTTGATGTCAGAATTGGAGCACGAACAAGGAATATTTATATTACTCATTATTATATTAAATAAGGTTTATGTAAGCTGGTCGTTTCTTTTTTTTTTTAATAAATAAATAACTGTTAGGTCTCACCATTTTTGTCATGTTTAACAATGCCAAATTTCATTAAATCAGCTTATCTTCGGCCTGCTTAACAACCCCTCATTCCACACCATTTCTGCCATGTTTGCCTGTTTCCTTCTTCACTAATATGAAACATTTTTATTATGCATGTAAGACCCGTACAAGGTTTAGTTTGGTAGTAAAAAACACAGTGGACATGCTTTAAGTTGAGATTTTGTAAGGTTACGTTTTGGTTTTAGTTTACTCAGTTTGGAAAACATGCAAAAAAAATCATAAATTTACTATTTTTTTAAATGGAATCATATGAAATTATTTTACGAGTGTTGTACTTTCTTTGGAAGAACTATTTTGTTGATCAAAGCTTTGGGAGATATGTATCCTCCGATTAATTGTAATTCTTTGATATGATCTTTGACAAACCCACATGATTATCATAATCAAATTTATTATTAGAAGATCATAAATCTGTCGTCATCACTAAGGGTTCGTATATAAACCTTCATGGAAGGGGGTTCGTATATAAACCTTCATGGAAGGGGTTAAAACTTTCTTTCTCTCAGTATCATACAATTTATAATGCACCCTCCATAAAATAATTGACTAAGATTCTTAATTCAAATTAAAAGAAATAAATCATCTTGAATTACCATAATCTACGTCTTACCGTAAAAAACGAGTATTTTCCAATCATATTGAATTAAATTCAACTAGTTATCCACCCCTTTCTACAAATGAATTCAGCTATAAATATAGGAATGGTGGCGTAAGGTTTACAAAAGTTGATTAATTGTGGTTTGGAGGATTGTGTGTGAGAAGAACACAGAAGAGTGTGGGTGTAGCTAGGTAGGCGACCTCATTTGTGCTAATCCTACCAAAACCAATATTATTGCCACGATTCATGAGCCATGACATATTGGCTTACGTTCCTTTCCACTTTTACCAGCCACTCCATCTTGTGTTCCTTCCATCTTCTCTGTGTTGCGGTTGTTTCCATCTTGAATAGGGTTTCATGGATTTCAAGTGATTCAATTTGATGGAATTTATTTTTTATTTTAAAAATTTAGGCTCCAATCCGATTTAGAGTTTAGGATATAAATAATTCGATTTGACCTGATTCAATATAATATTTTAGTTATTCTTTATACATATAGGAATAATTACAATAATATATTTTTATTTTATTTTTTTAATTAGGTCTTTATCTTATCAATAAAAAGATATATATATATAGGATATTTCTGCTACGCTCAATGAACACTATTAATTTAATTTATAAAATTTTAAAATCCTAAAAGACTTAAACTTATATTATAGTTCTTGCAGATTTTGACCTAAAAATATATAGGTCGTGTTGGATATGGTGTATTTTAACGTAAAAATTCATATCTAATTTCGAGTTAATGGAATTCTTCTAAATCTTGTTCTGATCAAATACATAAGGAGAGATTTAAGATCAAAATAAATTCAAACAAATTAAAAATCCAATCCGATACGACTCATGGGATCTTAATCTTGAGTGATGGATTACATTAAAGTCAAGAAAAAAAAAACACGGTGCGTTCAGATTTTTTAGAAGGAAACTTGGGTTGTTTCCATGCTCGACATATTATCCATGAAAGGAAGCAAATTTGACTTTTGGTGCTTGGAAAAAAAGGGAGAGATTCTTTCATCATTTATATTTGATATATATGCAAAAAAAAAAAAGTTGCCTGGAAAATCTGGTATTTGCCGTCGTTTCTTTGATTTCTACTGTTAAATTCACTGCATCACATACGTAATGTCATATATGGACTAGAGTCTTTTTAGAAGCAGAAAATTATTGATTGAGGGAGTAAAGTATAACTAACAACAAAATTTGGAGGACAAAATAAAACTAAACTAAAATTAAAAGGATTACATAAGTATTATCTTCATATACTTTTTTAAAGAATAAAAAATTAGGGTTATTATCTTACGTGAATAGCTATAAAAAAATAACTAATTATATGTTTAGTTTGTAATTTTCAATTTTAATTATAATTTGAGTTTTTCTTTAAATAAAACTAGCAATAATGTTAAAAAAATGCATCACTATCTTTTTAATAATAAGAAGATTAGATAAAAATTATGAAGGCCCGAGCCCCAGTCGTAATCCGAAAATAAGAAAGAATAGCAGGGGATGATGCAAGCAGAGGCGTGAGTTTGTTATCCTCTGAATGATTGTGTTGTCCCGATTCCAGCAATAGAATATAATTGTGAATACGTCACCGTTGGATTAGAAACAAAAACTCCAGTCTCGTCGTTCAGCACTCATGCGTTTATATTATATATGATTTTTCAAAACTTAGGTTGGTACCAACAATCAATTGGACTAATGGGAAGAGATACTAAGTCCCTTAAACAATGTCAGAGGTTTAAATCTTGGCGTTTACGAATGGAGCAAACTGGGTTGGGAGGGTCGTCATCCTCTCTGCAATATCTAATATGGATTAGTCGGTCAATATATTGGATATAATTGATTAATTCAAAAAAGGAAAAAAAAACTTAGAAGGTTGAAGAAATTTTAATTAGATTTGACACCATCTATCTATGCACTTGCTTCCATTCATTAAAGACTTTGGTTCTTAATATGTCCAAAACAAATGCATTATTGATTTTAGAGAGAAGAATCCACCTTGAATTTTCACATTGGAAATACTTGACGCATTATTGGTACCGTGGGGAAGATGATGCAGCAAACGTTATAATTACGGATTAAAGTCATAAAGAGATAAGGGGTTTCCTTTCTTTCTTAATCACGTTTGATTTATTCTCATTTTCAAAATAATTTATAAATTAACATCACCCTGGAAAGAATGGTGCAATAGTCTATAAACGTGACCCTGACCACAATGACTGATCAATTTTTACTTTTTAATTTTTTTAATAAATTTAGAGTAAATATAATATAATATTTATTTAAATATTTTTAATTATTTAACGATAAATATTTATGCATTTGACCTATACAATGTTTAAATTTAAAATTAAAAAAAACAATAATTTAAATTCTCTTTCTATCTCCATGAGAAAGTAAAGCTGTCTTTTTTTTCACTGTCTTCTCGCAAAAATTAAATGATTTACTTTTTTTTTATTCTGAATTTCCGATAGAGTAAGCTTTTGCAGTTCGAACAGGTTATTACTAAACCACAAAATCCAAATCAGTTTGATCTAATTAAATTAATTAAAACTTCTTCTGGAAATAATCTTATACAAACTAACAAATTCTAGAAAAAACTGATACTTTTATTGTAGGGTGTTATTTAATTAAGTCTCTCAATTATTAAAAATTATATATAAAAAATATATATAACTATAAATTATTGTTTGGTTGAGTCTCCGACTATTAAAAGTTATAAAATGATCATTGACTACTCATATATTCTAAACTCATCATTTTCTATTAAAAATTGATAGTCGTCTAAGTTGAACGTTAACATATTGACTGAGATATGATACAATCTGATACAGCTTGAGTTGCGTTTTGTGTATCGGCATTCTTTTTACATTATATCATCGAACTAATACTCAATACATTAAAATATGATTTTAATCAAATTTCAGTCAGCATGTTAATATATAATTCAAACAACTGTTAATTTTTTTAATTGAACATAAATTTAAAATATATAAATAATCGAATGATCGTTTTATAATTTTCAATAACTAAAAAACTAACATTTATAATTTTTAATAATAAAAAAACTTAATAAAACATAATCCTTTACGGCTTTATATATTGTATCCTAATTTATATTAATTCATTCCTTTTTCGTACCGTAATTAGGGCTGAGCAACGAAACTGAGAAAATCGAAAAACCGACACGAACCGAGTAAAACGGTTCGGTTCGGTTTGGTTTGACTTTAAACGGTTCGGTTTTCGGTTCGGTTTAAAGGCTTCATTTTTTTGATTCGGTTCGGTTCGGGTTTTCCATATGGAACCCATTTATTCCATATTGAACCGAATAGGCAATTTTTGTAAAAAAATTATAGTTTCAAGTGATTTTTTTATTGAAAAACAGATAAACCGATCCGAACCGAACCGAAAAACCCGAACCGTTAAAAAAACCGAACCGAATCAAAAAAACCGGTTTCGGTTTTTTCGATTTTTTCGATTTTTTAACTATTCGGTTTCGATTTCGATTTAAATATTGAAAACCTGTTTATTTCGGTTCGATTCAATTTTTGGTAAAAAACCGAACCGAACCGAACCGAATACACCCCTAACCGTAATAACTAAAAAACTAACATTTAGTAGTTAAAAATTATATTATAATTTTTAATAATACAAAACTTAATAAAACATAATCCTTTACGGCTTTATATATTGTATCCTAATTTATATTAATTCATCCCTTTTTCGTACCGTCCCAGGATGAAATAAAATATGTACTACACAAAACCAATTTTGTACCACGCAAGAACCCAAACCTTTTCCCTCGTCAAAGCCAAAAGATTGAATAAAATAAAAAAGGTCCTAATCTAAGCACCAGTCCCACTAATAAAATCATTAAATTAAATCAAGGACGGCACCACGTGGCATCCTCCGTTGCCACTCGCTAATCGCCACCAATGCTATTTTATCGCATATAGAATGAAAATCCTTTCTTTAAAATGTATAAAATGAAATTCAATTTCTATTTCATAATTCCATTTAGAAAAATACAACAAACGAAAGAACCGATGACGACCCACTCAACATCAACCCGCTCTATGCCAAGCCGGCTTCGGCCGGTTTGATGGTTCCAAAATTATAGTATTTCCGATTCATGAGCTTCCCTATTTACCCCTCGAAAGATTTTCTATTTACATTTGTTGGCCATCATCCACCGTCTTACATGACGGAGCAGGCGTTGGGATTCTCATCGCTGAACATCTGAGGAGCGTGAAGGGGATGCCGCGGGTCCATCATATACCCCTGATTAACATACCCGGGATGAGACATGTACCCGTGCTCGTGATGGGAGTGACTCTGATACCCTTCCGCCGCATAACTCGAACTGGAACCGTCGTACACGTGTCCCTCCGACCAATACATTGGCTGTGGAGGATACCCGTACCCATGGTACTCCATTTTATTCACTTCCATCTTCGTTTCACCGCCCTCTTTTTTCTCTCCGCCCCTGCCTTCCTTCTTCTCGCCTCCGGAAGCAGCAGCGACTTCTTTTCCTTTCTCTTTAGTATCGCCGCCGGCATCCTTCTTCTCTCCACCGTCTTTTTTCTCACCGCCGTCCTCTTTCTTAGGCGGAACCACGTCGACATTGCGTTTCAACTTAGTCTTAAGATAAGGGACGAGGTCTTTCACGTCCATTGTGCCTTTTACTGTTACTAAATCTTTAGCTCCATCGACGTTAACTGATTCAACTCCTGTTTTTTTAATTAAAAACAAAACATTAGTTAATTAAATTAATTAAAATGTACTTTTAATTTAAACTTAAATTTAATTAACTTACCATGTACTTTCAAGATAATTTTTCGCATTTTGTGAATGCAGCCATCGCAATGTGTTCTGATCTTCAAAACCACCGTACTCTGTATAATCAAACATAATTTAATCATGCTTAACTCAAACTGGTCAAAATCTAAGTTAAAATTTTCAAACTATCGCATGTAAAAATTTACCTCTTTCGGAGTTTTTATCTCTTCTTTTTTCTTCTCTTCTTTTTTCTCCTCAGGTTTCTTCTCAGCGTCGGGTTTCTTATCACCACCGCCAGCGGCGGCATCTTTCTTAGGCTGAGGGGAAATTAAGTCCACTTTCTTCTTGGTTTTCTCAGCCAACGTAACCCCGATTTTGGCCTGGTCCACGTTGCCAATCACCGTTAACTTGTTGGCTCCACAATCAGTTTTCACATCTTCCACGCCTTCAACCAACGACAACAACAACTTCCGTGTTAGGAAACTTCATATGGATTATTTATTTATTCAAATTTCTTATTAAGGTTGAAAAAATTAGTAATCAAGTCTGATCCTTATCCAATTCGCCGATTATTCCGGAAAAAATGGGCGAACCATTCACAGGAACGAACTAAATCGATTTTCCAATTCAAGTTTGAAAAATTCCAAAAATCAATTCCCATTATTTCAATCAATCAACCAGCACCAATTACCTTCGTAATGTTTAATAGAGCGTTTAATCTTCTTAGCACAACCTTCACAATGCATATCAATCTTGTAAACGGCTATAATCTTGCCGTCGTCTTTCTTAGCGCCAGCATCGGCGGCGGGCTTCTTCTCAGCTTCAGGCTTAGCTCCTCCTTTTTGCTGGAAGACAAGAAACAAAACTATAAATTAAAACCCCCAAAAAATCTCAAATCATTGAAGATTAGAAAGAGAAAGAACAGAGGGAATGTAGAAGAAAAGAACAACTAACTAACCTCACCCATTACTTGACTGAATTTTTTTAAAAATTAATTAAAGATGTTTGGTTAATGAGAGATCTCAGAAGAATAGCTAAACTTTGAAGGGGTAAACTTCAGGCAAAAAAACGCGTATATATAGGGAGGGAGATGCAGTTTATGGTAACGTATGTATGAATGTATGTATGATGGTGGAGGGATGTTATGTATGGTGGTTGGAGAAATCTATGATGGATATGATGGGGCACGGTTATCTGAGTGATGGAGTCAGGAAGGGTGGGCTAAAGTGGTTTCTGTTATAATATAATTTGAAGGATAATTATATTGGTAGTCTCTAAAGTTTTAAGATGTTTGTGTTTTGGCTATTGCATTTTGAAAACTTATATCATAATTACTAAACATTTAATTCACTTTCATTATGATTTTTATTATGATTACTGTTGACTGTGGTTAATTACCGACAGTTGATGTTGCAGCTTCATGTACTATAAAAACTTTATAACGCCTTCTTTTAACATTTTCCTTCAAAAATTAATACCCTTCCATAAAAGATGACATTTATATAGGGATGATAAATAAGTGGGATAGGCGCAAATATCAATTTTTTTATCTTCATATCTATTTAATATTTTGTATTTATCACTAATACATCACCTAGGATTAGTAATAGTTTTAAATTTACACTAGTCAAAGCGAGTACATTCTTTAATTCACCTCCACATTCATTATCTAACTGTATGTCCATCACTCATCATGTATTCTAAAAATGTTTATACCCTAATATATAGTTAAGTTATAAGTCATGTCATATAAAATCTTAAGATTTATAAAAATAGCCACTAAAATTATACCTATATTCATAATTGCCCAAAATTTAAATGGTGGGTAGTTAGTGGGCGAGCAGATGCAGGACGGATAAGGTCTCAAACCCATCATCTACTCACTACTCATGGTGGGTATGCCATTTTACATCCACACCCACCCACTACCCAATAAATATATACCCACCCCGTCCAATCGAAGTGAGTATGGTATGAAATCTACGAAATTGTACTCGTTTACTATCTCTACACTTGTGGAGGAAAATGACATAAATGTGTTACATCAATTAATATGATACTAATTTATTAAAGAAAATTATATATAAAGGCATTAAATCAAATTTCGTCAGTAACATCAATCGATAAAAATCATAATAAAAAAGCACAAGTTTAAAGATTATAATATAAATTTTAAAAGTTTTATGTTAAAAATACAAATATCCTGAAGTTTATAGACTATAAGTGTAAGTTACCCTAATTTGAAATATATTTTTTGTTTTTGTTTTGCCGTCGTATTAGACTGATGGTTGTGGAGAAACGACCAACCCCGTATTCCACATTTTTAAGCTTGATCAAGGCCATAGATGGAAGAGACATCAGTACCCCTATCAATATTATATTTAATTAATTATGTTGTGGGTAATTTTGGGATTCAGCAATGAGTTCCACGTTTGGGAACGAGACTGGACTGTTGTTGGGTGATTATAAATTTCGAAAGTCCGTCTTGTAACGTTTTACCGATTCCGTACAATTTTCAAAATTCAAGGGTTGGTTTTAGTGCATTGCGGATTAATTTTTAATTAACATTAAATAAATTAACAATGTTTTCAAATTCAACACGTTAAAAATAAATTATCTAAAATTTTTTTTGTCACATTAACGATGCAATGAATGTGAAAAATATATTATTAATTTATATATTAAATTATTTCCACAATACCTGTCTCATTTAAGATAAATTTATAGTATAACACCTTCCTGATCTGTTATGATTTTTTTTTTAAAAATGACTGATCTGATAAATAAATTTGTATATATGACTCAAAATTTAGATTATTATCAAAATATGAATAAATATTCAGTTAATAAGTGTTGCAACTGTCTTTCAGTTGGGTCACGGAATTGAGCTTCGATTTAAAAAAATGTGAATTGGAGTCGCCACCGATCATTTATTTAAAAATAAATGGGTTGATTGGATATCCTATTTCTTACCTGATCTGCGTCTTACCAGAAATATGTCGGGCTCGGGAGTCGGTTACGGTCAAGGAAGGATTAGCACCCTTGAACCGCCCTTTTGGTACTACGTAATTTATAGTTGTCTTAATTAAGAAAAATAACAAGTTTAATTAAAAGGTAAAGTTTCGATCCTAATTACTTACCCTTGATTGATTTGAAAATATCCTTTAAAAAAATCGAGAAATGTGTTAGATAAACAAGGTAAAGAAAACAAATAAGATATAAGGGAAAAATAAAATAAATAAGTAAGATAAGAAAAAAAATAGTAAAGTAATAATTATATATAGTAATATTTGAAAAAAATGAAAAAAATATAAATATATATATATATATCAAAGTATTAATAAAATAAATAAGCTATATATATACACCAAATACTTAAAAATAGAAAAGCTACCCTCTAAATTCACTGAAAGTGGGGGGCTTTAGTAAGAAATAAGACAAAAAAATAGGCCCTCTAAGTTAGTAGTATATAATATAATGTTTAATAATAATAATAATAAAGACACAAGGTTTTTTTTTAAATAATAATATAATAATAATGAATAAAAAAATAAAAATAATAAAAAATAATATAAATATATAAAGTTATAAGATATATTACATAAATAAAGAAATAATCAAATAAAAATAATTAAGAATATATATATTTAATAATAGGTATATAAATAAACTATTAAAAGTATAAAAAATATATATGACTAGATAAAGATAATTACAATATATATATAGTAATATTAGACTTATAAGTAAAATATTAAAGAAATATATATATATAATAATAAAATATAGTAAAAAATAAATGAAAATAATTTAATATATATATATATATATATATATAATAATAACATGAATAATAAAAATAAATGAATAAAATATCAATATAATAAATAAAGGGACTAATATAGATTTTTAAAAAGCTCTTTCCCTCCTTTAACCGAAAATCAAACCGGTTTTTAAAAATATGCCTCGGGGTAGATCTAGGTTCGAAACTTCGAAACCCCACCCATTTTGGTCATCGGCGCAACCCACGTTTTGGGTTATTCGAACCAAATCTCAAGAAAAATAACGTGCATATGCAAAAGAAAGAAAAAAGAAAATGCTACCTTTTATTTCCTTTTCGAATCCTTTACAATAGTTTTGCCTTTGTATCTTCCCGTGCTTTCCTCTATGTTTTGTGTGTAAATCGTCTGTTACAATGGTGAGTTACAATGGCTATTTATAGTGCTTGTGGATCCTATCTTTAGGAATTTAAATCTTAGTAGAACTCTATCATATTTTTAGGAGTTTGAATCCTAGCAAAATTTTATCCTATTTTTAGGAGTTTGAATCCTAGTAGGACGAAAATGTGTGTTGACAGCTGCCCCTCTTTGCCCATAGTCGTGTAACGGGGATAGGGCAAAGATTAAAATACACACTTTTCGTTCAGTGGAGTTGAAAATTAACTCTGATGTTTCAATAACTCCCTGTCGAATTGAGTTACGGATGACTCCTCCATCGTGAAGTCGAGTTCATCTTGAAATGATATGAAATTGAAGCCATAGTTCGGAATTTGAATCAGCACGTGGCTTCCCGTTACCCTTCGGTCTTCTTCTCGGTTTAAAGACCTTGGATCGGAATCGAACTCAGAAATATTCATTGACAGATAGCTTTTTCTTGACTTAAGCTATGTTGTTTGAAAATGGTTGCTTATCACTAAGGCACTGCTAACCCAGGTCATCTTCTCGACTTGAAAACCTCGACTGCAACCGGAAAGTAGTGCGATTGATGTGTCATCGAGCTGAATGGAGTCGAACTCGACAATTTTGATGGCAGATAATCCTTCTTTGAGTTGGATATCCTTCGTCGTGAAGTTGAAATCCAAGTAAGTAGCATTGTTCCGAGTCCAATATCCTCCGTCGTGAAGTTGAAATTGGCTCTGGAACCGGGAAATTGTTTGTTGACAACCAGCCGTCCCTTCGTTGTGAAGTTGAACTTGTGTTGTCTCGAGTCCAATATCCTTCACTGTGAAGTTGAAATTGACTCTGAATGAAATTTTGTTGACAAGCAGCGGTTCCTTCGTCGTGGAGTTGAACTTGCGTTGTCTGGAGTCCAATATGCTTCGTTGTGAAGTTGAAATTGGCTCTGAGATTGGGAAGTTGTTGTTGACAAGCAGCGGTCCCTTCGTCGTGAAGTTGAACTTGCGTTGTCTGGAGTCCAATATCATTCGTTGCGAAGTTGAAATTGGCTCTGAGATTGGGAAGTTGTTGTTGACAAGTAGCGGTCCCTTCGTCGTGAAGTTGAACTTGCTTTGTCTGAAGTCCAATATCCTTCATTGTGAAGTTGAAATTGGCTCTGAAATTGAGAAGTTGTTGTTGACAAGCAGCGGTCTCTTCATCGTGAAGTTGAACTTGCATTGTCTGGAGTCCAATATCCTTCGTTGTGAAGTTGAAATTGTCTCTGAAATTGAGAAGTTGTTTGTTGACAGCCAGCCGTCCCTTCGTTGTGAAGTTGAACTTGTGTTGTCTCGAGTGTCACGATATCCTCCGTCGTGGAGTTGAAATCGCGGATGTTTGGCTTCGAGCTAGACATCCTTCGTCGTGAAGTTGAAATCTATTCTCGAGCAAATTGTGTCGTTTCAAGAGAAACTGTCTCAAGGGAGACAAAATTTGTTTGAAGGAAAACATATTCAAAGATTTTGTTAAATTGTTTTCAAAGTTTATGTTTGGAGAGAAACTGTCTTAAGGGAGACAAAATTCGTTTCAAGGGAAACTATCTCAAGCGAGATAAAATTCATTTCAAGGGAAATGTTTTCAATGTTTATGTTTCAAGAGAAACTGTCTCAAGGGAGACAAAATTTTCTGTTTCGAGGGAAACCATCTCAAGAGAGAAAAAAAAATCATTTCAAGGGAAATGTTTTCAATGTCTATGTTTCAAGAGAAACTGTCTTAAGGGAGACAAAATTTTCTGTTTCGAGGGAAACTATCTGAGGAGAGAAAAAATTAATTTCAAGGGAAATGTTTTCAAGAGAAACTGTCTCAAGGGAGACAAAATTTTCTGTTTCGA